ATTTAGAAGGAATTAGGAAAAGAAACCCTGACACTGGCAGGCCCCTCCTGGCAACCCCTCCTGGCCTCTGAGTTGCTGGGAGCAGCTGAGACTGCTCCTGCTTAAGTATCAGGGATGCTTCAGAGAGAAAAGCCCACTCTGTGTTTGCAAAGTGGGTTTTTCATGCAGAGAGGCAGCCCAGGGAGCTGGGAATTCACAGTATGGTCATCAGGCACTTGTGTAATGAGCAGGGCAAGAAAGAAAGCTGACACACTGACAGCACACAAGATTTAACATGAATATTGTCCATCACTGGAGCATGGATCAGGCAGTGTGTGTGTTTGGCATGACTGGGGGTTTGTCAGGCAGCAGTGCCTGAAGTTGTAGTCACAGATCTGGTCCCCATTGTGCAGGGCACTGGAGAAAGACAAAGCAAGTCCATGTTCCAAGAGCTCATAGTTTGTGTTGCTCCAGGTCCAGTGTAAGGATGAAGTGTTTTCCTACTGAAACACAAATCCTCTGGGGAGAATAAAAGCCCAGCTGAGTTCCTGTAACTCCCACCAAACTTCCCCTTCGGAATGATTTTTCCATGTTGACATTCAGACTAGAGGAGAATGGGGGCAGAGCAGTCTTGTTTTCTTGTTGTGTTTTCTGATTCCTGCGCATGCTTAATCACCCTCTCCTCTTGCAGTGTTTTCAAAGGAGAACTCCAAATGTTACCCAGGGGACGAGCAGAGCCAGCAGGGCGATGCCTGCAGACCCCTCTTTCTCTGTTCTTCTTTTGAAGTCCATAGGCATGCTAGGTTCACATCACAAGTGTAAAACAAACAGCTCTGGGAAAAAGATAAGTTCTTAAATACAAAAAGAAGCTTCAGGGCAAATCTCAAAAGTACTTCACGGTTTACTGAAATGATAATGTCTGCTGTTGCTTCATTTGAGCACCATGACACATAGAAAGGAGGTGGTCTGAGTGTTGTATGAGGTACAGTAGTAGAGAAGTGGTGGCTTGAATCCCATGTTTTTACTGCTCTGCAGCATTGAAGTAGGATTCTGGGGATGAGTACTGTTAGGTCTTGCAGGAGCCAGGACTTCTTTTGATGATGAGTGGCCACTGACTCAGCCTCAGAACAAAGCAATTGTGACCAGGAAACTTTTTACAAATCACTAATTGTGAAAAATAGATGTGTGAGACCAGCAGCATTATTACCAGCATCAGGCAGATGGAGGGTGGAACAAGCCCAGAGACCAGTTTGCAAAACGATGAGCTTCGAGCATGCAAAGGAGGCAACTCCAAGAGCTGCTGGGATGGTCTGAGCCTTTCCATGGGCTGTCAGTCTCCTGGGAGTGACACTCCTGCCCTTCCGCATCATGGTCTGAATCCCTCTCTCACATGGTAATGGCAACAGTTCACAAACAGTCATCAGAATTGTGCCTAGCCTCCTTCAGCTGCATAATGAACCCAGAAGGACTTATCTAAATAGAGAAGCAATTGTGTGGACCAGCTGTTCAGCATTCTTCCCCACTCACAGGGCAGCCCACGCTGCAGCTGCAGAGGTGACCTAAGTGCTAAACTTTGAAACACCTTCAACAAGGCTTAGATCCCAGAAGCATTCCCAGTTGGGCAGCACTGGGCTGTTACTCTGTTTTCCTGCAGTTTTAAGGGGTATTTCAAAAACATACTGTGATCAGATGTGTGGTAGCAGTGCTGCCACAACCTAGGAGAGCCTTGGGATGTGATTCAACTTCTTCCATCATGGAAGGGTTAAGCCAGCCCAGCAAAACCATCCTCACTGTTCACTAGGAGTACTCACACTGGAGATGCAGTGTACTTGCTATTCTGCTCTGATAGGTGATCCTGCAGCTGTTGTTCCTTGTTCTTGCTTTCTTTATGGGCTTTACTCTTTGATGTGATGCAGAGGGGCGATGGACAGTTGGGTAAAACTCAGATGTTGCTTTTACTTCACCAGATCAACCATCAAAAGGGCCATGTTCACATCTATCGTCTCTTAGCTCTGCGGCTGGAGGTCCCCACTCTGACTCCAACGGCGCAGCTTCACCGTCAGCAGGGGTGTTAAGGAGGCAGTCCAAGCTTGTGGTATTCTTAATTTATCATTTCATCAAGGGTTTGTTGGCTGGAGGGGTGGAGGGATGTGAGTGGTACCTCTAGGTTGAGCATGCCAGAGGGGCTTGTTCTCCTCTCATGTCCATCACAGCTTTGCTGCTCTGGCTGCAGGGAGTCTTCTGGCTTTTCCAAACAGGCTCCTCTCTGTGACATGAGAAGAGGGATTCTTATCTGCCCTCCCTAGCACTGTGAAACAAAATTAATGCTTGGAAGGGACCTTGTGGTCCTCTGACAGGAACGCTTACACAAAAGCAAGACATTATTGCTGTTATAAAGAGCAATACTGAAAAAACAGCTGTCACAACAAAGAAGAACAATAGCTTGTCCTAGTGGCTTCTGCTTTTTTTGACTATTTACTAATGTTTTTCCATGTTTCTTTCCTTAGGAGATGACCGAGAATGGAAGTCATCAGCTGGTGGTAAAGGCCAGGTTCAATTTTAAGCAGACCAATGAGGATGAACTCTCTGTTAACAAAGGAGATATTATTTATGTCACTCGGGTTGAAGAAGGGGGCTGGTGGGAAGGGACCTTGAATGGAAAAACAGGCTGGTTCCCAAGCAACTACGTCAGAGAAATCAAATCCACCGGTAAGCAAATTGCCTGCAAGGGCTGATTGAATGACAGCGGGATAATGCAGCATAGATCCTTGTGCCTTTGGGAAATTGCTGCTATTTATTAAGGACCATTTTGTGTCCGTAAAGCAGCAGGAGGGCTAATGGAAGGATGAACGAGGCCAGAAGGATAAAGCCTGGTCTCTCGCATGAGTTGTTTGAGAGCTGCTTCTCCCTCTTTCCTGTTCATTGGGCCTTTCTGCTGCCCCCCAAGCCCCAGCAGTGCAGGAGTGGGGATGTCACCGGGGGCTGGAGATGGCTGCACGGGTCCCCTTTGTCCTGGGGAGCTGCCAGGTTGTTCCAGTGTCTGAGCACAGAATTAGCTTTTTGTTAGGGACCTTGGGCAGGCAATGTGTTTACGTTTGATCCTGGTGGATGCTCATGGCCCCAGTGAGGAAACCAACAAAAACGACATGGCCAGAGGGAACGTTCCCTTGGTTTTGTCCATAGCAATGGCTGATTTCACACAGAGCATTTTCTCCCAGATGCATCTCTGGCTGCAAGGCTGCAGGTGATATTGAGGAAGGAAGAGGGAGGGAATGATCCATCTGGTGACATCTGCCTTTACTGAGTTTTGTCTTGAGTGTCCTTAGCATTTTCTGCAATGTGATTCTAACCAGATGTGGGTGGTGATGACATGAAGCCTGCCCCTGGCTCACCGCCCCATGGTGTTACGTAGCCATTCAAGCAGCTCACCCCATTGTGCTTCTGAGGCCATTGTGTGACACTAAACTTGTTCTGTTTACAAAATCCAACTTTAATTTCTTAATGTAAGCCTTGAGGGCTTACCTTAGAGAGAGACCTGTTGTGTGCTAGGGGCTGGTTTTATGGCTCAGGATCAGTCCTGGCTTTTAAAGGCCATGAGACATCAGGGATGGGCTGCAAAGTGTACGGCCCCTTAGACATCTTTACTTCCACACTCGGAAGGGAAGAATAAAATTAATGAGGGAGTATTCAGAATTAGGCCAGTTTTTATTTAATTCTAAATTAAAAAATAATTGCTAGGATGTCTCATCTCCTCCCACCATTTTCCCCTGGGAAATGATGTCTGAGCTGGAGCAGGATGTTGCGGCAGAGACTGAAGGTTTGTCTGGCACAATCTGGGAGTCACTAAGTAAGTCAGTGAGTGGAGAAGTGAAATGTTTTTTAAAAAAGGGGAGGAAACTTCAGTCCCATGGGGAAAATCAGTGGCATGGAACGACAGCACCTCTTTGAAATGAAGGGCAAGTCTCCCATTCATCCTGATGTAGGAGCCCATCTGATTTTTTTTTTATCTGTGGCACTTTTCCCTCCAGATTCTCTCTCCTGCACCCATTTCATGTAGGAGGAAGGTTTGTTTCCCCAGTCCCTGCTTGCTCAGAACCTGTGGCCATGTTGCAAATGATGGATGCAGGGACCATCAGCTAACCCTCTCCTGCCCCAGAACCTCTGCCTGGGGTCAGTAGCCCAGGGGAACACTTCCTGCAAGCCAATGGGAGCTGCTTTCCCCACCGCCAAAGTGCAGGACTTGTCACTCTAAATTGAGTTACTCGTTTTTCACACTGTCGGTACTTCCACTGTGTCCTAAGCGTGCCCTTTGGGAGGAAGTAACTAGCTGTGTGGAGCAAAGCTCCTCCAACTCTTTAAATGAGGCACAGGGCTCCCGGGTGGAAGTGACAGGAAATTCTACAAGGGCAATAATTAGACAATACATCAAGCTGTGGTTTCCAGGGGCTAAATTTATCAATTTCAAGCTGCTCCTCTGCTATCAGTGTGAAAATAATTGCCTTCTGTGACAGACTGCAGGGAGAAAGGAAAGCTTGGCTGCTCAGTGCAGCACAGAGACATTTCAGGACAAGGTGTGCAGCATAGCCAGGGCCAGTGGTGCCAGCCTGTCCCAGCCCACAGGGGTGACAGTGCCCAGAGAGCTGGCAGAGCTGAGCTGCTGGCAGGGAAGGGGCTTCTCCAGGGAAGGAAAAGTGGAGCAGACACTTTTGTGCCTGTGTGTGTGTACGCACGTACATACCACGCTGGAGGCATCTGCAGGGATTTAGCAAATGCAGAAGAAGATGAGAGTTGACTTCCAGGTTTGTGTGAGCTTTTTATTCAAATCTGCCTTAGCTCAGAGAGGGATTTTGCTTCACAAATGACTATGGGAGTTGGGGTTCAGCACGTTGATTGGTGTCGGCTTCTAGTGCCTTGTGAATCACCTGGAACAAATTACTGCATGCAGCATTTCTGATAGACACCCAGTTTTAAAACCCAAATTTTGTGGGCTGGGTGAAGCTACACTGTAGCTCCAAACAGTGCCAGACACTGGGCTGCTGCCAGGGATTTCAGAGCAAACCTGTTAGTTGGCAGAGGCTTCTGGTGTGACTCGCTCAGCTGCCTTCAGTGTCCCGCACGCCTTTGATTTGCTCCTGGTTTTCCTGAAGCAGGCAAACAAACCCTGCAATTGAAGTTTTGTGTTCACAGGGTTGAAGTTACATTTACTGAACATGATGCAGCAATGACTTTTCCTGCTGTAGTAATTAGAGCTGTGCACTGTAATTCATTGATGTATTTTTTTGTACAGATAAACCACTCTCTCCCAAAGCATTAAAAGGACTTGAAAGCACTCAGCTGACAAAGAATTATTACCCTGTGGTAAGTTTTAAAGTGCTGATCATATATTTCAATAAGTAGCGTATTATTCATCTTTTGAACTGTCTCCTTCCCTTAGAAATCATTGAAGCAATTTGTAACAATTGGGGGCGTGACTGTATTTAAATGCAGCTGTTGCCATTTCCTTGATTCAGGGCTATCAATAAAATAAACCACAAATGTAAGTTGCTGCAAGATATCAGAAAGAGAAACTCAAAGTAGGTGACTGAGATAACATAGCAAAGGTGGCAGCTTTGAGATCAGTATTGGGGAATAAGGCATGATGTCTCTGGTCCAATCCTTGCCATCAACTGGTGGCTATCTCCTGTTGATAAATATGGGGAGAAAATGTCACAGCATGAAGCAAGTCAAATTAGAGCTCTGATCCTTGATCCCTGTCTTGGGTTTGGCTGGAGATGTTACACCCCAAGCTGCCTGTTCTATGCCTCTGCCAGCAGCTGCAGCCCTCAGAGAAGGGGCAGTGTCTGCAGCTCACAGCCTGGCTTGTTAACTGGGCTTGGCTTTGGAGAAGGTCAGCCTGCTGGGCTGTGAGCTGCAGTTGCAGAAGGGCTGGAGAGACATCACCTCCTCTGCTGTCTTGCTACTGGAGCAATGATGTCTGGCAAAGCGGGGCAGGTACCTTCCTGCTATGTCCAGGCTAGAGCAGCCCTGTGATGTCAGAGAGTTAAAATGCCTGTATGTGAACGTCCCTGGCTTTCTGTGCCGGAGATGGAACGTGCTCATCAGCATGTCTAAATATATTTCAAGCAAGGCAAAGCAGAAACAGTATGTCCAGAGAGCTGGGAACCACCTCCACTGTCTTCAGAGCTCTTCTACATGGAGAATCTTGAGTGCTGTCTGGGAGCATACAAGCAGTAGGTTTGCCTATTCTGCTGCCAGAGACAGGCTGCTGAGGTGGACCAAAACCAACTCTGCACATCCTTGAAATGGCAAGTGAGCTGTGCCCTACCCTCCTGAGCTGCCTCAGGAACGAGCTTGGTCCAGCCACTGTTGCATTTAAATCATTGCCTGCCTTTGTGCGAGCAGTGCTCCCAGGACACGTGCACAAATTGTTTGTCTGCGTACCTGGGCAGCCAGTTATGCATGCAGGGTTGGGCATGAGCCTCTCAGGGGTCAAATACTTAACTCAGGTCTGAACTGACATTGTCTTCGTGCTTTGCCAGAGAAGAAGAAGCAGCCCTTAAGACCTGCATTCCGGGCCTCCCCCAGTTTGCAAAGTAAAATCCCAAAATTGGACTCTCCAGATCTTTCCTGAGTATTCTGGGTTCTGCGTTAACAAATGTAATTTATAGACTTAAAATACACTTCCATGCTTTTCCACACTTGGAAGCTGATGTCATGTTCCATTGACCTAGTGGCTAGTACTAAGATGTACTCGGTGCTCTGTCTCTCACCCTAGGTGTTGCAAAATATTCTGGAAACAGAACGAGATTATGCGAAGGAACTACAGTCACTTCTGGGAACTTACTTAAGACCCCTGCAATCTTATGATAAGTAAGATATGAGAGCATCTGAGGTGGAGAGAACCCTGTAAAATCGACCATAGTTCATTACTTTCCTGCTTTTGTATGTTTAGGGACTGTTACTGCTCTTCTTGTAAAGCCTCACAGCTTCTGTGAACCAGAAAAACCTCTGTTGTACAGGTTTCTGCTCTTTCCTATTCCTCAGCGATCGTGCAGGCATTGGGCCATGTTAGAGATGGGCATTTCCACCTGGCTGTTACAATCCATCTGCAGGCTCCTGTGTGGCTGTCCCAGCATGCACGTTTCCCAGCAGAATGCCTTGCATGGCTTCTTCTCTTGTAATTTGCCTTGTTGTGACTTCTCAGCCGCCAACAGTGTCTCGGCAGCATCTCTTCCTTTCGCATGTGACAGCATCTGTTCTCTGCAGTTCAGTTGCCTCTTGCTAAGTCCAAACTGCTGCCCAGCAAGAAGTGACTCCCCTGTCTCCCCATCTGCACAGCCATTGGATTAAAGTACCTTCATGCTTGGGAAGAACGTGCTCCCATTCCTTAGACCAAGCAGTGACTGGGGGGCTTTGTCAGGGCTCACTGCGGAAAGAAGCCGGTGCTTTCTGTCCGTGCTGGCCAGAGCTGCAGAGGCAGCACACGCCGTCCTGTCCTTACCCAGGCAGCGACAGGCAGCACACTGGTGCCTCTCAGCAGATTTCTATCCGTGGTTTCATCTTGCATAAAAGACCTGGTGCAGTCAACTTCAGCTCCTGCTTACTGCTTCAGCTTTACAGTCATCTCTTCTGAAGAGTGCTGTCTTGGTCACCCCATCAGTGTGGCTGTGACTGGGGCCAGGGTCCCTCTGGCTGAGAGCACTGTGGGACCAGGCAGCCCCCAGGCATCCTGGACAGAGGGCAGATGTTTAGGCTTTGTCCAGAGAGACAGGAGAGTGGTGTCTTAAGGCCTTTGTATTTAAACCTCTCCTTTCTTCCCTGTATCTTCATGTGGGATGTATTCAGCTGTGAAAATTTGTCATGCTCTCAGCCTTCTAGGCAAAAAATGGCTTAAATGAGGGTGGTATGAGAGTGGCTCTGAGGATGACAGAAGCAGACATATTAGTTCTGGCTAGGAAAAGTCCAACCTCGTTCAAGGAACAAGGCAAGTCCTACCTGAGGGACAGCTCTGTAGGACCCTCCTCCCAAGGGGAAACACACAGCATGAGTCCCTGAAGACAAAGCTGTCTCTGTGCCTGTGCACACACCTCCCTCCCCATCCCTGGCTGAAGTCCCATCTGTCGTTGTCTGTTAGCTAAACATCCAAAAAGATTAGTGTGATTAAGTGATTAAAATCCAATTAAGGTAATCCCTGACAGCAGACATCTTCTCTGGGAGGCTGTGATCTGTAGCTCACAGATCATGGATTTATTTTCTTATATCCAATCGTGTATCTGGGAAAGATAAATTCTTGGGCTTTTTTGGAAGGACTGCTTACAGATACCATAAGGGTGCTCCTGAGAGAAAGATCTCTTTGATGCTAATTGGTGGTTTGACTCTTCTAGACTCAGTGCTGTGGACATCGCATCGTTGCTGGGAAATGTGGAAGAAATCTCTGCATTTCAGCAAACATTGAACCAAGCCTTGGAAGAAGTTGCAAAGTAAGCTTGTGCCATCGTGCTGAGGGTGTTAAGCTATTAAACTGCAGCTAAAAATAATAGGAAGACACATTCATTAAAGTTCCTCCTGGCTGCTGTCTTGGACATTAAATATAGAAGAAAATAACAGGATTGAAGAAAGGCAGCAGGTAGTGCTTTGGCAGGAGGGAAGGTAGAATAAACTCTTGACGTTTCTGCTGTTAAGGCATCTGCTGAATGAAAGTGTCACTAGACTAAAGGTGCATACACATGTAAGGGTGGGAAATCTGGCAGGTATGAAGATGGGGATTGCCAGGGAGCAAACAGCAAATTATTAGAGGTAATTTCCCTCAGGGGAAGCTGGCAGACCTTAGTCCAGCCTCTCCTTTGGAAGGGCTGAAAAGAGCTGGAGAAAAGACTGAATGTTGGAAATGTATTCAGGCTGTGGCTTCCCTTTCTCTCCACATCTCCTCTCTCATATTCCTGGGCAGCCCAGAGAGTGGCACCACCTCTCCATTGCCCCCAGTGCTTCCCAACACATCCTCACCAGCCACAATGGCCTATGGCATCTCAGCTGAAGCTCTGCTGATGGGACAGGACATGCTGGGTCACACCTTGTCCTGGGGTTGATACTGGGTTGTGGTATGACTGACTGCACCACAAAAACCCTTGTGAGGGCTTCCTTCCCTCTTCCCAAGTGGCAGGCGTGGGTATTTTGCTTGTCGCTGTAGTGGTGCCCTGGGAATGTTCCCAGGTGGTTCCTGGGCAGATATCTGAGAGTGCTGTAGCTGCAGGGTGCAGGTCAAGAGGCTCATTGTGTGCTGGTGTGTTGGTGTCCACAGGCTGCCCGAGAACCAGCAGCGTGTGGGAGGCTGTTTCATGAGCCTGATGCCCCAGTTCCGCTCCCTGTACCTGACGTACTGCGCCAACCACCCCTGCGCCGTCAGCGTCCTCACGCAGCACAGGTGAGTGATGGAGGGGAAGGTCCAGGCTGAAATCTCTCCTTTAACGAGTTACTTTTATTATTCATGACCTGGCATGGCCTTTGACCTGTATTTTGACAATGGGGCAAGGGGCGTAGCATGGGATCCTACTGCTGGGAAAACTGCTGAGACCTTGGGCCTCTTCAGCCTCTCGGATCCAGTGTGGAGGGAACTTATGCTGCTTGTCTCCAGAGCAAGTCTCACAGGTCCTGTCTGAGCTTACAGGACTCTTGGGTAAAACAGAGGCAACCTCAGCTCTTGCAGTAGCATCTCCTGTGATTGTTACTTGCTAAAGGGCCCAGATGCCGTTTCAGACCCACTGCTGAAGTGCTCACACATGGGAGTGTGTTCCCCTGTGGCACTGCAGTGCAGGGCACATAATTGCAGGAGTGTGGTCATTGCATCTCCTGGAATTACCTAGTTTAATAGTTGAGCTGCAGTTCGACTGAATGGTTCATTTGCAGGGCCATTGGTAGATTGTCCTTCAACAAGTCCCGCTTGAGTAAACACTTGAATTTGTATAATGTCATGCTGAAGAGCATGCCAAGCCAAAAGGCTACAACTGTGTCATCCCTAATGCAGCTTAGTTGTCCTCTCTGCAGTGATGGGAAAGCCAGGACACAGACATACTGTTTAAGTCTTCCTTTTCTGTAGTGGGAACTCAAAATATATGTACTTAACCTATTGAGATCCCTCTTTAATTCAGCCTAGCAAAAAACTTGGCTCCTTTTAAGGACTCATTCATGTTCTTCAGTCTGATCCCTTCTCTTAAATCAGTCAAAGGATCAGCTTTGGCTTCTGTGCTGACACACACAAGCTGTGTTTTTCAGAGTGATGTACAAGCTCACTACAGCATCACAGCTCTCAGTAGGGTCCTGTCATGTTGCTGCAGTGTCCTCCAGCACAGCAGCAGCCTCTGCAGCCCCTGCTGTCCACCAGGCAGCTGGCCCTGTGCCACCTTGCTCTGCTGGGGGACCAGCTGCCAGCACCCACATACCCCAGAGCCTATGCACACCAACACCCCCCAGCACCCTCCTCTGCATCCCTGGGGAATGGGGTCTTGCTTGGCTGGAAAGACTGGGTCTATAGTGGGGTGATGCTCAGAGGGAAGGCTGTGCTGCCTTTGGAAAGGCAGAGCTCAGAGCAGAGCCCCAGCCAGCAGGAGAGCGTGGGAGGCAGCAAAACACAGACCTCAGCAGCGGCGAGCCTGCCTGCTTGTTGTTGTCTCTATTTATAGTGATGAGCTGGAGAAGTTCATGGAGAGCCAGGGTGCGGCCACCCCAGGCATTCTCATCTTAACCATGAGCCTCAGCAAACCCTTCCTCAGGCTGGATAAATATGTGACCCTGCTGCAGGAGCTGGAGCGGCACATGGAGGTAGGTGGGATGTGGGGCTGCCGGGCAGGCTCTGCCCCCGGGTGCTGCAAGAGCTGCCCGTGAGCTGCAAGAGGTACCTCTGCCCGTTGGAATTGGAGCACCACATTGCTAAAAGTACTGAGTGCCCCTCCAGGGAGTTGTTCCACCTCTGTGGGACATAATCTACCTTTCAGATTAAAAGAGGGGAAGCGGTGGAGTCTGGGGATGTTGTGGGTAGGCAGTACCTGCTCTTCACCCCAGCTCGTTCTCAGTGGGTGGGCCATTTCCAGCACAAGTCAAAGCAGGGTGCAGGGTCAGGCTGCAACTGGTATTTATTTGCACAGCAGGTAGTAAATCAGTGTTTTGATTATAATTTCATGAAAATCCTGTCCCCAGCTGCTTGCTCCTGCAGCTCACAGGCACATTCCCACCCCTTGCCCGAGGCTGGTGGTCCTGTGGGGGGGCAGACATCGATCTGGCAGCCAGTGCAGACACAGGGGTGGAGGAAGTGCCTGGGAGCAGGGAGAGCAGTGAGGGAGGACAGACTTCCTCGGCAGGTGGCAGACCTGCTTTATGACATTTTTTCTTCTGTAGGGACTCTAAAGGTCTCTGCTCTGCTCCTCACCTGCTGGGGTCCTCCAGCCACAGGGCTGCAAACCTCAGGGGTGGTGCAAGGAGATGAAGAAAACAGAAGTAGCAGTCTATTTTAACTGAGTTTGCTTTTGTCCTCTTCCAGGATTAATTAGCAGTTAATTACTCAGCATGTGTAGCCATGATCATTCAAATCCACATGCCAGCCAGAGGATTAAATCCTCTGTGCTTGAGCCAAGGGGTTTTCTGCATAGGAGGGGGCAGAAAAGCCTGCCCTGTAGGCACAAACCAGACTGACCTGACCCACTCTCACTTGTCTTAGCTGGGCTGCAGGGACTGTGCTGAGTTTGGCTGCAGCCACCTGCAACTCATTGCAGGATGCTGTATGGGGTCAGCAGTGGATCTGGGGACACACACATCAGCTGTTTTTCTGAGCTTCTAGGCCAAATGTGGGGGTTTTGTTGCATGAATCAGTAGGGTTGAGGTTTAAACTGTGATGCCGTGGGAGGAGTATGGATGGATGCAGCGTAGATGTATGCAGTGTGGATGTATGCCATAGCATTCCCTGTACTGCTGTGCAGCTGGAGATGGGACAGGTCTGTCCAGAGCAGCCCTCATCCCCCATTCAGAGATGAGCCATCCCAGGCACCCTTTGACAGCTGCAGGGACAGCTCCATCACGACAACCTAGAAACCTCAGGATTTGCTTGGCATGATCTGGATGGTGAAGAGCTGGTGATGTAGCCTTAGATGCCCAAGAGGAGGTGCTGAGAGTGTACTAGCATGCAGCTGCAGTCGGAGATAAGGGCCAGTATCCTGTTTTCTCCTCCCTGGCGCAAGAGGTCACATTGACCAGGGCAGTAAGGAAGCCAACTCTGGTACCTGAGGGAGCCTGGTTCTGCTGGGCAGTGGGTGCTGTGCAAGGCAGCTGCAGCTGCTGCTGAGGGATTTTTCTCTCTCTTCACCAGGAGGCGCATGCAGATCACGAAGAGGTTCTGAAAGCCATCACATCCTTCAAGTCCCTTGTGGTAGGTGGCAATTCTTAAAATAGAGCGCTCCATTTCAGGGCTGCATTTCACAAAGAATGAGTCAAGCCTGACATTTGTCTCCTCATTAGAAAAAAAGGTCTCTTGGCATGGAAAAGATGGGTTATAAAGCATCTTAATTTAAAGTTTTAAGCCTTGAGCTGCCAGAGTGGCAGTTTCAGGAGTTCCACACTGGCTCCATGGTCCCAGCAGCAGAAACAGAGGATCTCTGACTTTCTGTGCTGCAGAAAGCCACATGTGGGCAGCGATGACAGCGGGGTCCGTTTCGTCTCCTTTTCCCTCCAAACCCTAACCATTTACCACCTGAAACTAGACCACCTCTCGCTCCCTTAGATGAGCTGTGAAAGGTTAACACAAGTGTCTGACTCAACCCATCTGAGCCCGTTGAGTGACTCTTGGTTTTGTTGCGGTTTGCTCCCCAAGCATCAGGAGGCTTTGACCATATTGCAGGTAATTTGTGGCTCCAGGTGCTGTGGCCATTGGCTGGTGAACAGAGCAGCAACGAAGGGATGAGTCAGAGATAACAATCCTATTTCAGTGAGTTGTGTTACCTACACCCCTCAAAGTCCTGAGATGAAAAAGAGGGGGAAAAGCTACCCATGTGTGCAAAGGCTTTACCCGGCAAAGCTTTTTTCAGTTATTAAAAAACCTATAGACTCTCTCACTTTGTAGCCACTGAATACCTTTCACTATAACCACTCCAGATGTGGTCCAACTTCCTTCCTTAGCACAGCAGATGCAAGTTTTCAGTGCTTAGTAGTGCAGATAAAAGATGGGGAGGAGAAAGTTCATAGAAAACAGGAAAGGGCAATCATGTAACATTTACTTAGAAACTCAGTTCCCTTTCCATTTATTCTAGTAGATAACAGGGGAATAATTCTTTTAAATTACAAGGTGTCATTAATCTTCAGGAATGCTCAGAAATGATGGTTTTACTTGAAATGTGTAGTTGGGCACAGAGCAATTTAATATGATTATAATACAGCTGAAAAAGGTTCAGTGCAGATTTGAGGTTAAATAGGCAGAGATGCCCCTCGTGATGGACACATGGTCCTGTGGTGGGACCAGGGATGCTTCTGAGTGATGGCAGGACAGGGACATCTGTCACATCTGCACAGACGGTGATGGATTGCTGTGTTTTTTATATGGATTTGCATCCTGGAAACATTGGATTCAGACACCCCGGAGAGCCATTGAAACCCACAGCAATTGCAAAACCAGAGGAAGCCCCCGCAGTTTGGTTCAAAAGTGTGTGTTTTCAGACTAGACACAATACAGCCTCTCCTTTTGAAGATCTGGATAGTCTAAAGAGTTTGTATAGAAATGAGCTGGAAAGGAGGAAGATCTCTGTCAGAAACAGGGGTTTGGAAAATAAACAAGCAGCTGGTAAAAAATGAGCTCGGGTTTGGCTTTGCAGCAATTTTCCCTGTTAGGAGAGGGTCAGTTAAGGCAAGTTTTGCTTGGAGTTGCAGGGCTGTCATTGCTCAGTCAGCGTTGTCCTCTGCTTCCTGAAAACTGCTGAAGGCCTGGCTGCTCCATGGAGCTCTACGAGTCCCCAGATGCTGAGCATTGGTGCAGTCTTTTCAGCTATGCCACCTTTGAAAACTTATTTTTGTGCTACTTCACTGCTGAAATACTGCACCAAGTCCTGCTTTTGGGTTTGCAAATTTTGGTTAGAAAATATCCACCCATCTGATCTGTGGGGGATTTGCATTGCTGCAAGTATAATTCTCTTTGCTGTTTGGGCAAAATGGGCAAAATGTCTCTGAGCAGCAGCAAAATTAGAGGCATTTAGCTCTGCTCAGTCTTGATTTGGAAAATGTGACCCTGTACTCTCAAAGGTAGGACTGGTTTGGAAGGAAAAGTTTGCTCAGCACAGTTTGCAATTTCTTTGACATTTTAACATATTCATTACTTCATAAATTACTAGGGTGTGATTTTTTTAAACTAACTTTGTCTGACAGAGCCAAAACAGGCTTTCCTCATCTCTTGATGTGACCAGCCCTGAGCCCACGTGGCTGTTGGAGCGTTGCTAGTGAAACCATCTTGGTTGGGGTGGTTTGGGTTTGCCCTTTGGCTAAGAAAGTGCCCTGCTGTGATTCCCAGTCGCAGTGCCAGGAGCTGAGGAAGAGGAAACAGCTTGAACTGCAGATCCTTTCTGAATCCATCCAGCGCTGGGAAGGAGAGGACATAAAAACAATGGGAAACATCATCTACATGTCCCAGGTTATGGTACAGTGTGGGGGAAGTGAGGTGAGTTCAGTGGCCTGTCTCCTGGCTACAGACATTGGGTTCAAATGCCCCCTTTGCTCATGGGATCAGTGGTGCAAGGTGGCAGCAACTCTCACCCCAGGCCAGCCAAGTGCTGACAAATAATGCTGATAAATAATTTTACTTGGAGAAGTGCTGTGCAATGGGGCTGTGCACGTCCTTGGAGCCAGGCGCTGCGTCACACCCCGGGGACTCAGCTTCAGGCCTTCAGTGACACACTTTTCAAGCAGAAGTGTCTCAGTGTCATACAGCACATTAATTCCGCGCTTTCCCCCTGTGACTTACTCTGAGAAATGAGATTGACTTAAAAGTGTGCATTAGCATAACCATTTTGCCACGTCCTGCTTACAGCGTGGTGGCTGCCGTGACGTCCCGCTCCAGAGCTGACTGTGCTTTGGAAAGAACTGGAGGGATTCCTGTGCTGCTGGTCCCAAAGCATCACACCACTGCTCAACACAGTCCTTCACCAGGGTTGTTAAAACCATGTTTGGTGTTTGCTGTCTGGGAAAGTGCTTCTTGGCACTGAATTGCTTGCTGTAGCAACTTTCCCATGGGAAGGGAAGACCTGTAAAACAAAGCCCTGTAGAGTCTAATCCCCAAGTCTTGTTTGGGGCATGAACTGCTGAGGGACATAAGGTCTTAGTCTTCTGAGGCACTCTGAAGTTATTGGAAGAGAGAGTCAGTAGCATTGTCAGGATCAGCAGGATGCAGGCAAAATGTATGCAGGAAAAGCTAGTACAGAAATGAGATGCTGTCAAGAAAAACAGCCAAAATAATCGGTTTGGGGGTGGTCTGTGGAAGGCTGCGATTCCAGCTGCAGCAGGTTCAGTTTGCTGGAGGATGCTGGAGGAAGCTGTTTGTGATGCATTGCAAACTGGACCCACCTCAACGTTTTTCCCCGCAGGAGAAGGAAGAGCGGTATTTCTTGTTGTTTTCAAACGTTTTGCTGATGCTGTCTGCAAGCCCACGGATGAGTGGGTTCATCTATCAGGTAGGCATGCTTAATTTGAAGCTGGGAGGCGTTAGGTGTGAAAAAGGAAGTCAGATAGCTCTTATCAAATTCAAATCCTTTCTTTCCTGAAACCTCTCTGTTGTGATGCAAATGCCCCAGGCTAGGAAACAGGGCTTGGTTTAACATGCCTGCCAGGACACTTAGTGCCTTTGTCCTGCCACCTGGTTAAACAGCATTTGGTAAGTGTGAATGCTGTGAAATTAGAAAAAAATAACAACAACCCTAGAAGCATGTCCTACATGGTGTTCTCAAGAATGTTGTGTGTGTGTCTGTGTGTGTGTAAGGTGTCCTGACCCAGCTGTAGGGTTCTGCCCCACACCACCAGCCAGATGGTTTTCAGGGTTGGGCTATCTCTGGAAAATACTTCACTGCTATAAAGCCCACTGTACAGAGCCAAACATTTTCACTCCATGGGGCACCCCAAAGCACTGTATGTCTTGTGTTTTACCATTGGCATGGCTGCAATCGGGCTGTTGGGAGCTTGGCTTTGCTTCAGTTGCCTGAAACAGTCAGTGCCCCCAGGGAAAGGATGTTGTGTCGTTTGTCATATACAAGGGTGATGGTAAAGATTTGGGAAGGATTTGGCTGGGTTTTTAGATTTTACCCACCAGTGGTGAGTAAGGTGAGCAAGTAGTTCAGCATGCAAAACAGAGGGACAGGTGAGGCTTTCAGAAAAACCAGAGGAAGTTCATCCTGACTTGGCTGTAAAAAGGGTTTGCACCTAGTGAAGGGAAGGGGCGGCAGATGAGCCAGGAATGACTCAGTTGTAATGGGAGCCTCTTCTCTGGGGTTTGACCTAGTTGTGCAGGGAAATCTAGATCCGTACATTAAGGGAGGCTCTTCCTGCAGTGTGAAGCTTTCACAAACTAGTTTTTAATGGCATTTCCCAAAGAGAAAGAAATCAGCAGAAACAAGCAGAACAGCACCTGCTGGGAAGCAGATGCAGACACTGACTCCTCCTCACTTGTCCTAGGGAAAGCTGCCTTTGACAGGAATGACGCTGACAAAGCTGGAAGATGCCGAAGGGAACGAGCACATGTTTGAAATTGCAGGTCAGTGTGGCCCCTACATGGAGACATCCTTGTACTTCCAACAGCAGCTTCCACCGGAGGTACTGGTCCTCCTTGTGTCCCCACACGCTGCACAAAGCTCTTTTTAGCTCTTTTACTTTGTGTTGTCTGAGTTCCTGAGCATCTGCCTCCTGCTCGAGGCAACCTCCTCTCAGTGCTCTTGAGCTCTGTCTCTGGCACTGGGCTGCTTCTGGAGGTTGTAGTGTTTCATATGGAACAAATATCCTGCCAGGGCTGATTGCGGCCCCACTAGCACTGCTCTGTAGCATGCATGCTCCATCTGCATCCTGGGTCTATCCCATGCAGTTATGAGCACTTAATTTATTGTCAGACTAACAGCTCTGGTCATCAGGTAGCTTTCCTAGTTTTCCTCCCAATTTTCCCCTTCAGTTTATCTCATTGCTTGTACCTATACACAGTTGTCATGCTCAGTGACTTGGCTGCAGTGCATCTATTTGTGCTGGTGGCATTTGGTGTCAGGGCCCAGTTAATTGTGCAAATGTGGTTGCTTACTTTTAACCTTAAATAATTCCTCACACATTCATCTTGCCAGTTCCCTTTTCCTGTGCTGCTCCTATGGATTCTCCCATCATCCCTTGATGGGCAGTCACATCTTTGTCCATTTGCAGCCACTGGACTTTTCAAATTGAGGGCTGGGTTGCTGCTGTGTCAAGTAGAGCTCACACTGTGTTTCCTCCTGGGTCTCTACCACATGTTAAAGATGGTTATTTAACCCTCTGCCACAGGAAACATGATGGAGCGGATCACTGTGTCCTGCAGCTCCAGCCAGGACTTGCATGAATGGCTGGACCACTTGCAAAGGCTGACCAAAGGGACATGCAACACCATATCCAAAACACAGTCCTGGAGTGCTCACTCGGTAAGCATCACCCCTCCCCAAGCTTCTCTGCTGCCCAGGGTCTCAGCACTGCCTGGTCTCTCAGTTTCAGCAGTGGACCTTGGTACAGAGCTGACGTGTACAGCTGTCAGACACATCCTGCAGTTCTGCTTGTAACCATGTTGTGTTTCTACCATTCTGCACATACCCTGCCCTGTTTTGGTTGCAACCTAGATGTGGCAACTTATAGATGGACTCTTCTTGTCCACCTCCCTCTGCTCCTCTATGTTGTTTGGTGTTTTAACAGTTTTCGTTTGTTCTCATCTATTTTCTCAGACATTTAGTTCAGCTGGACAGGTCCGTGGGCCTCTGGAACCCCCCAAAATCCTTAAGCCCTGGAGCCTCAGCTGCCTCCGTCCTGCTCCTCCACTCAGACCATCGGCAGCACTGAGTTACAAAGAGGTAACCATCCCACCTGCCTGCAGAGAGCCCTGGTTTCATGGCATTCCCTAGTGCTCGTGCCCAGGGTTCTTGTCCCAGTAGTGAGGACCCAGAAGCTTAGGTTAGTGGGGATGTTGCTTGTTGCTGTGGCTGGCTTTGTGCTGCAAGGGAAGAAGGAGCACGTGTGTTTGCAGGCTCAGCCCCATTCCCCATGTTTGCTGTTGGCTGCTGTAGCCAGCACCCTCGGCTGCTGGATGTCACCAGTCCCACAGTGGAGTGTCCCTCAGCCTTGTATCCCATCGGTGCCATGGTGGAGCTGTCTCCCCTCCTCCTCCTCCTTCTGCCTTGGTCACAGCTATGGGTGTGAGCCAGGCTCCCTGCCACCACGTTCTGCACCAAGAGGAGCCGTAGCAGCAGCTCAGCGTTGCTCAGACTGGTGCTGCAGGATCAAGCAGCAATGAGAAAGAGGAAAAAGTCCTGTTGATATTTCTCGTGTCTTCCCATCCCATGTTTTGGTGGCTGGAGCAGGGCTCCCTGCAGCAGCCATGGGGTTCAACCCTCCTTCGCCACCCATGCCAGCATTTACACACCCAGACCCTGCTGGGAGGCAGCGACCTGAGGAATCGCTTCCCCCACAGAAACCCCAAGGTGGGAGGCAGCGTGGGGAAACCCAAAATACAACCCCGCTCCCATTCTCACCCCCTGCTGCAACTGCAGTACTCTCCTTCCCTACCTCACGTTAAACTTTTGGGATTACTCACCAGTAACTGTGGTAACGTTCCCTCTGCGGAGCGAGCACTCCAGTTCTGAGTCAGCCACCCTTCCTGGTACAGCAGCCCCGGGAGTGTCACTGTCCGGGCTGCCAGTGGGGACAGGGACAAAGAGGGGGTCACACCCCCCTAGTCCTTAGGGATGAAGGCCCAGCAGCCAGGCAGGCTGTGGGTCCGCTGCTCCAGGTAGAGATTTTAGGCAACCTCATGGCATTTTGTTTGATTTATTTCTTAACATTTGTAAAACATCACATTCTCTTTGGGAATTAAATTGTTCAAAAAGCAACCGAGCAGACTGGAAACGATCCTTAAAGTCTGTGTGGTCCAAATCCCTAACGTAGGCGAAACCGTTTCTTGCTTGTGTGGTGAATTAAAATACAGGAAGAGGTTTGATTAGAGAAAAAATGTTTCTGCATGGAAGTGCAAGGCTGATATTTGTTTATAAGGTAGGCTAAAGCCACAGATTGAGCGGTATCATTAACACCTTGGTCCTTTGCAGTCTCTCAGTTGTCCCCTGCTGTGCATAGCAGGAGTTAAACTCCCTGTGTTGAAAGCAGGGCAGAAGTTTTTGCCACAGAGGCCGAGCAGGCAGGGAGCGCCGAGGGGTGGGATGCTGCTGCAGGCAGGATGGCAGCATGCAAGGTGTGAAAGTTTGCATGGGAACAGGCTGAGCTCATCACCTTGGTGGAAACCCAATAGCCAGTGGGTCCACCAGAGCCAGGGCAGAGCTAGGCAGGCAGCCTGGTACCCAGTAAGTCCAGCCTGCACCGAGAGGGCAGCTTCCCCCTGAGGGGAGTGACTCGTGGACATGTGCCTGTGATGACAAATACAAAATAAGTTCAGTTGTTGGCCCAGGCAGATCTGCATCTGTCTCCTCCCTCCCTCTTGGGTGCTTGGTCACTAAGCAGGATTCCTATTTCACTGTTGTGTTTTTCTTTTCTTTTTACATTAAAGTAGGGCACACAATCAACTGTACTAACAGCTTCCTATAATGAAGTCACCTTCCTGTAATGATGGTACAATGAAGGAATTCAAATTTCAAAGGTTATTTGCAGAGAAGGGAGTGGGGAGGTTTGATTAGAAGATTAGAGAATTTCAGACATCCAGTGTTACTTTAATTGGCTTCAAGCAGCATAGGACGGGATGGCACAGTCGTGCATTTCCTTGCAGCTCGCCGTGCTCAGGAAACCCCAGAACCTGCTTGCGTACTGCACAGCACTCATGTTATTTCCATTGAAATTGGGTCATTTTTCCTGTTCCATTTCCAGTAATCATTTGAAATGACAGAGCAGGTGCTGTGGGTAAAGCGGTGTGTCTGGATTCAGGTTAGCAAAGTGAAAAAGGTTCACAGATGATTTATTCAACATTTATTTATTTATTTATTTTTAAGTGGCCTGCTTTGCATTACATGGAGGGTTTATAACATCAGGATTCATTACTTTGCTGGCCAGACCTGCAGGAGGGCCTTGTTGCTGTGCCTGGCGCTGGCAAGTTACTGGGGAGAACGGCAGGTCCCTCAAGGGGGTCCCCTTTGAGAGGATGCAGTCCTGGGGGACTGTCACCAGGGTGGGCAGAGCATCCCATCATCCCAGCTGGGTTGGGTTGGAGAACACAGGACCGGTGTTGAGTGTGGGGCCAAACCCCAGGGTGCTCCCTGGGGCTCGGATGGAGCCAGCCATGCACCAATGGGTCCTGTGTTTTTAAGCACCATTTTAGACAACCAACGTCTACAGAAACCTACTACTAACCATGTAACATAGGCATGTTCTCTATTTTGACGTGTTTTGAGTGTATTAATGCCCACTTACCATGTGTTTCACATGTAATTTTTTCAGTTTTGCATGGCAACTTGCTCCTTTGCATGTTGGTAGTGCTCAAAAACCAGTACAGGGTGTGCCACATTAATCACAGGACTAACATTGAAATGTCTTTTAGAATTGTGGATTTAATGGACTTGGTCAATAAAACCATCAGTCTCTCACACTCATCTTCTCTTTCTTTGCATATTCATTGTAGAGGATGTCTTATATCTTAAAGGTAAGGGTAGATACATCTCTTTGGCTTGTCATGGCAAAGAATGCTTGTTCCTGTTCATGCTTCTCATGCTTGCACAACCCTAATCTTGCCTGGCTGTATCTGTAAGTTATTGCAAGACTCAGTGTCAACTGGCAAATGCATTTTGAGGTAACTCTTAAGAAGGATTTAGTATTGTGGTATTTAAACTGCCTGGCATGTCTCCTCTCCTGCATAGACTCCTGATTGCCTGCAACCTACTAATACACTAATTCTCTCCCGATCGGCAAGACTTGTAACTCAGTGAAGGAGATAAAAGCTTGTGTTTCTTACTCGTGGAGTCGTAGCAAACACTAACTTCATGTTTGTTTGTTCTCTGTGTATGTGTGGGGGATTTATACTCTCATACAAATTGTGTGCATTTAGAAGCAATGTCATTTGTCGACTGTTTCATATTAGAAATCAAACTGAGTCAAGGAAAGATTGTAGGCTTTTCCAACAAAGACCCCAGAGTTGGTAAGCAGACTAAAAGTGCTGTGAATGTGTTTGAATTCTTTGGCTAAGGATCTTAGCTGAGGGTTGAATTCACTAAAGGAGCTTGTCCTGTCCCAGACCTGCAGGTGCTCCAGAGAGTTCTGCTGCTATTCCAGGGAGCAGAGGGACACAACTAGCACATGGGAAAGGCTAAAAGCATCATTTTCCCCAGCTTTGTCATTGTCTGCTTTGTAGTTCTCTAATGTGTTGTTGTGTGTAACTCGGGTAGCTGCTCTGCTCCACTCTTGGGGCTGCCTGTGGTTCTGCTTCAACATGAGTCTGTTTCTCTATAGGATTCCAGCAAAAGTCCAAAAACAATGAAGAAGTTTCTTCCAAAAAGGAAAACTGAGAGAAAACCATCTGATGAAGAGTTTGTTATTCGAAAAAGTAAGTGTTGTATTTTTCTCTTCTTATTGGAGTTTCTGTGTGCTCAGTGATGTCCATGGGACATATATTTGAGAATGGCCTTTCTTGCAGTGCAGGATGTGACAGGATGCTCACGTTGTGAGCAAGCCTGGGTGCTCCTGAGCACAGGAAGCTTCTGGAAGCACACAGGTCCTCAGCCTCTGACAGATCCCCTCCCAGTTATGAGTGCCAGACAAGCTACCATCTTCCTCGTGATTGCTAACACAAGGTCTCAGGTTGTGGGTGGTCTTGTTCTGGATACAAAGCCAAGGAACTACTTCCAAGTAGTTAAAAGTTGCAGTAAAACTGCACATCAATAGTCGTAAAAATACATCTGAGAGCTGGGACAAACCCTTACCTGGCCATGACAGCAGGTCCTGGAACAGTTTCCACGGGGCATCAAGGAACAAAAAAAGGCCTTATCCCTGCAGGGGTGTTCACGGGCAAAGAGGGATGTGCTGAAAGCTCCCTGAAGTCCACTTGGGATGCTTCTCGGGGTTTTTCCATGAAAGGCCATGGTCACACAGCAGTGACCTGCTGTGGTATAAAACCTGAAGGTTAGTTGTCTCCCTCAAGAAGACAGCACTGAGCTAAGGCTGGAAATGAAGACTTCATGTTTCCATGTCTTGCTTTGAGCAGGCTGTACCGGACACCTCCGAGCAGGGCTGCTTTGCCTACCCATCTCCTGATGCTCCCTGCACCCAAAGTCAGGCATCACCCCTTAAGTTTTGCTGAGATGAGCAGCTAGAAGTGCATTTTTCTACCATTTAGCCAGGGTGCTCAATGCAACAGGACATTGCAAATGGCAGAAGATGCAAAGGACCTCAGAAAGGAATTAGGCAAAGTCCTGGAGACAGTGTCAGTCAAGGAGACAGCATGCTCTTCTATTAGGGGACTTGGGAGCAAAGGCTGGGAGACATGCAGCCCAAGTGCTTGGCTGTTGGCAGCAGCTGGTGTCTGCAATGTTTTACAGGTACGGCTGCGCTGGAAGAAGATGCTCAGATTCTGAAGGTGATTGAGGCATACTGTACTGGGGCAGGCTTCCAGCAAGCCCCCAGCTCAGGTGGGCACACAACAAGAGTGTTTAGTTCTTACTCTGCCTGTAATGCTGATAACCCCTCTGGGAAAAAAAAACAGATGGTTGCATCATACAGCAACGAGACTCATGCTAGGAAACTGTATGGTGTTCAATCTTCAAGATAAGGGAGCTTCATCTATCTAGTGGTTTAGTTGCCATTGTTTTTTCTTCTAAACACAGAGAATGAAGTAGGTAGGAGGGCAGATGAGATGCAGCTATTTCACCAGCTCTTGTTAGGAATTAAGCAAACATAGTAAGTGCCTGTGGCTGTCAGCACTGAAAACCTGATGGTAATCTCGGGTTGCATACAGCTTTAGAAAGGAAGCATGAATATTATCTCCCAATCAGCTGCATGTTTAAGAGCAAGCTGCTTCATAAAAACCTACCTAGCATCTTCAAGTCTGGAAAGATAATTGTTTATCATTGGTGGTGGAATGTCAAATTAAATCACTGAACTATCAAATAATGGTGTATTTTAAAAAGGGAGGGCATGTTTCTCCTGAGAGCTTTTGACCCTGATCAAATTATTTAATTTATAAGTCATGATGTAGCTTTGGATGCAATAAGCACTCCTGAAAACTTTCCGCTTACTGCTTTAGCTCCAAGTTTGTAGGTATAAGGCTGTTTGCAACCATGGCAGACAGCTGGGGGCTGCTCCAGACCCTGTGTCCCTGCCTGCCCCAGCAGATCAGAGGAGCCGGAGAACAAGGCTGCATTTGCTGTGCTGTCTCTCTAGAGTGGCCTGGGCATCAGGGAAAAGTCTCCTTTTTTCTTCCTTATGACTAATTCTTGTGCACAGGCTCCCGTAAAGACTCCATCCCCCAAGTCCTTCTTCCTGAGGAAGAGAAAATCATCATAGAGGAAACACGAAGCAACGGCCAGACTGTCACGGAGGAAAAGTAAGTGTGGCTGCTCTCCAGTACAGATCCCTGGGCCACTTTTTGGAAAGACTTTTAAAGTAATCCTCTCACCTGCATCTCTGGAGAAGAGAGGAGCTGGTGTCCCTGACTGCTGCCTCAGTCCTGGCAAGAGCCGCCAGGCTATTTCAGTTGCTATTTTGCCCCTTTTGAAGAGCAGATCTGCCTTCCCAGCTGCTCTGACGTGGCTGCAGCCCTCTGGGAGTCTGTGTGCTGCCCTGAGAGCCAGTTTATCCAGTCCCAGAGCTTATCCGGATGTAGCTAATGGGGTCAGTGAGGACAGAACCAAACAAATGGCTCTTTTTCTTTTTTAACTGCTGACATACTGGGCTGCTGCTACCCCTCAGGAGCCTTCATGGCACCCTGACTGTGAGTGCTTCCAGCCTCAGCATCTGGATGACTGTTGATCTACTCCTTTTCTAAGCCAGACAGTGAATTCCTTTCATCCTTGTTTGTTTGCAGCATAACCTCAAGGATTCAAGGCCATTTTGCAAGATGCTCAGGCATTTCTAGTTTTAAAATAATTGGTATTTATTGCAGTAGTGTAAACAAGGAAGCCAAAGCCACAGACCTTTGTTGATAACTTAGAGATAGCAGAACAAGGTGGGGTTTTTTTTTGAATTTTGAGAAAAGAGCTCTGAACTTTGAACTGCTGGCCTATAAATGCTCCCGAGCTATGTTTCCAGAGTCCCCTCATGGGCAGTAACAGCTGCAGCCTGATGCTTGCAAGGGGCAGCAGAACAAAGCAGAAGCTGGAAGCACCTTCCCCATCAGCACCTTGCTCACAAAAGCTCCCATGCTGCTGCTACTGCACTCCACATCTTTTTATATCTTTTATTTTTAATTTCTTCTTGCAGGAGCCTTGTTGACACGGTTTATGCACTGAAAGATGAAGTCAAAGAGCTGAAGCAGGTAATTTGAGTGGGATCATTTGTGCTGGGAGTTGAACAAAAGCCAGCCAGGCTGCACTGGGTCATTGTCTTCTACTGGTTGGTGCCCAGGAATAGTCTTGCTGATGCTGGTTTGATCCCTCAGCTTCTTCAGGTGTTAGTTTCCCTCTGGTTTAGGTCCCTGAATCAAGCAATTATTTGAGCACCAGAACCAGCAGGAGGGAAGGAGTAGTTGGTCTTCATGGTAACATGAAACTTTCCCCCGACTCTAAAAGCTCTTTCAACTTGACTATTCATTTTATAGGGGTCTGGTGGATACCAATTCTTGTAGTCTCAGAGGATGTAGGAGACACCCCAGCAGGAGAACAGGGCCCTTGAACCCAGCCTAAAATTAGGTTTCCAGGAGAATGCTTCTGCCTTCTTGAAGTCATTGGGACTTCTGTACAGGTCTGTGAGGTAGTAAGGGTCTGCTTGAGTGGATTGGACCACGGGTAACCCATGTTGTTCATCCTCACAAGCTGGCAGTGACCTGTCAAATGTCCTTGATACTTCTCCTCTGAGGCACCAGGCAGCAAAGTGGGAAAGTACCTCATTCCATAAAGTGCAGGGCTGTTAACAGCATCGTTATGCCTTTGTTTTTCACCTCACAGGAAAACAAAAGGATGAAACAGTGTTTGGAGGAAGAGCTTAAATCCAGGAAGGACTTGGAGAAGCTGGTTAGAAGGCTGCTGAAGCAGACAGATGAGTGTGGCAGGGAGGACACGGGGCGCAAGTCGTCCCTGATCGCCTGAATTCGGGCAGAAGCTGCTGGCAGTGGTGTGTGACCTCAGGTGTTTTTTTGGGAAGTGGAACTGGATCCTTTGCCTCTTCTTGCTCCGTATTTTGTTGGTTTGGGGAATTTTGTTACAAAAAAAAAAAATCACAGAGGAAAAAAAAATAGGTTTTCTTCCATCCAGTAAGGAAATAAACAGAAACAATCACAACTCAACCAGTAAGCAAGCGGTCCATGATTCACAATTCATCTGCAGCAACTAATACCTCATCGTACCTGCTACGGGGAGCAAATGCAAACTCTGCTGGGGACTGCCACTCACAAAGGGTTTGGCAGCAGTTTCCTAGAGGAAGCTTAGGCACTTTTTAATGCTTTCATTCTTTTCAAAAGCACCGGTACCTATTTATTGAATGAAAACATTATTGAGGTGACATTGAGCAGAAACCAAAAAGCACCATGCTCCTCTTTTCAGATAATCACAACTGGGGAAGCTTTCCCATCCACCTTTGTTTTCCCCATTAGTTGACTGTAGCGAACTAGAGCCCAGCAATACTGTGGTTCCTGTGTGGCCTTGATACTGATTAAAATGTGCAATTAACGTGAAGACATTTGAACTCCTTTGGGAAGTCAGATCTGGAGCACCTGTCAGAGCGCATGGGAAGGTCTGTTGCACAGTGCTGCCTCCTCACAACTTGTGATTAGCACAACAGGTAACTGCTCTTCTGCCCTCTCATCCCTTTTTTTATGCATGACCTGTAACTTTTACCCCCTCCTTTGTTTTCACATTGAGTGTCCAGGTATCCTATGAGTTTATAGTTTTGCTGTGCTTCCCCTTGCAGGACATGCTTTTCTCTGTATGAAATGTAAACACTGCTTGACAACAAACAACAACCCCCAAATGTGCTGGTTCCCTGCTCCCTTCTGCCCATGTTAGGCTCTCAGATGCTCCTTCCCAAAGGCTGGGAATGTAACCAATGGCCCACTTCTCCCCACCTCGCCCCAAAAGGGCTTTTTGCTAGGAAAAAGGGACTTTCTCTTGGGATAGGAAATCTGTTTATGCTTTGACAAGAGCTGGAATGCTCCTAGGGCAAGAACATGCAACACCCTTCCAGATCCCTGCAGAGCTCCTCAAGCACAGCACATGGGCAACATGCATCTGTATCAGCTATCTTCATCTTATTTGGTGTTACACTGTAGTTTAGAACTGATGCTTTCCTTCCTTAGCAACATTATAAAAGTAACCTTCTGTTAAAGTTGATGATAAGTCTTATGTATCTGCAGGGCAGCATGGTCCCAGGCTGTGCAGACACACCACAGCTCATTACAGTCATACTGTTATGTTGGTCATGAAGGACATAATGGAGGCAATAATTACAACTCCCTCCTTACAATTAAAATTTAGCCAGAACATAGCAAATGGTGTCTGGGGAGAGCTAGACTCCAGAACATCACAAGGAGTGTAAAAAGAAACAGTCTTTAAATCTGAGTTGTTCCTAGGACAAAACAGGTCTTTTTTGTTCTGGCTACATTTGCCATCTCCAGAGCATCCCAGCTGGATGGCAGCTCCCTGCCTCCCCACCCAGACATGCAGCTGAGCAATTTGGTCAGCAGTCAAGCCCTACTGAGCTGGTTAGTGGTTTTCCAGGATAAGGACCTTGGCTTCACACTGAGCAGCTCCTGCTGCTGCTCTGGGATGCCCGAACACCCTGGCACTGCCCAGTCCTGCTGCCTGCCCAAAGGGAGCCTGGGGACCAGGCTTGTGACGTGCAGCCAGGGCAAGAGAGCAAACCAAGGGCCATTTACTCTCCAGGGAGAGGGTGGAAATGTTTCCCTGCTGTCCCCTGGTTTAGTTGAAAGCTGTGCTGTGTACATATGCATGTTTATAAGATGTAATGTGATGGAGGGCACACTGGGACCTTTTGGATCAAGTGTTTATCAAGAGCTAGAAGCCAAAAAAAGACAAGAAAATAAAATAAAAAGGAAGAGAAGCCATGCTGGATGGACAGCAATGTTTCCATATTTTTACTTTGTTTACAGTGCTTTGTAAATAGGTTCCAGTGAGTCTGTCTTTAGATGGATGTTGTGTCAGCTGCCTTCCAGTTTATCTTTGTCATTTAGGTTTATTTACTGTAACTACTTATGCAAGTTCAACTTTTCTAACATGTTTTTATTTTGAACAGTTTTTTAATTGACATTTTCAACAAATAAAGAAGGATAAAAATCACTTCTTAGCTCTTGATGCTGGTTCCCTTCTTTCCACTGCAAAAGCAAAGCCAGTGCTTGCTCCAAGCATCCCTGGTTTGCTCAAAATGTTCATGGCAACATCATCCACCCTCCAATTTACTTGATGCTGCTGGGGATACTGGTGCAAATGCTGATACTCGGGCTGTTGATCCCACCACCACCCAGCCCTGCAGAGGGAAGGATGCCTGGTCCTAGGGGTGGAGATGCATTTCCATCCCTCAAGCCCCTCTTGCAGTCTGTTGACAAGGATGCTTTATGGAGACCTGCTGCTTTCCTCTGCACTGCCAGGGTGCTGTAGATAAGTGACTTCCTGCCTGTTTTGAGAGTTTTTGTATATATATGGTGGTGGGTGTTTTTTTTTCTGGAGATTAGGTGTGGTGACAGGATTTCCTTTGGTCTACCACTTGGATGAGATCTCTCCTGCACGCTTGTATTTTTAATTCTGTGTTAGAGACAGGCCATGCTCTGGGCCTGCAGCTGGAGGATCGAGGGCAGGAGGGCCAGGCCCTGCTCTCCCTCCCCAGACACAACAGCCAGAGTGGGAAAAAAAACAAGTGAAAAACAAAACACTGGCTCTGGATGCCTTGTGGAAAAGACACTGAAGTCTGCACAAGAGCCTACTTGAACCCAAGTGGCATTTTGGGGACTAATTGCAGAGGCAGAGCAGACCTGAGGCAGCCCACAGGCTCATTTTGGAAGGAGCAGCCCCACTCCCACATCCCCATGAAGCCAGACCCAGGCCTTGACCAGAGACCATCCATCCTGCTCTCCTACTGTGTACAGGGTCCCTTTTGCCCCTTCACTTACTCCAGCTCCCAAACAAACCCTTCCCATGACCCAGCTCCAACACAAGCAGCACCAGCCTACTCCAAGCAATAGAGTCTGGCTTCAAATTACCATCAATGTAGAAAAAGCAACACAAAAACCAGAAAAAAAAAATTCCCAGCTGAATCTGCCCAGCCCAAACGATTACCACAGTGGGGGAAGCTCTGGAGGGGCCCACCAGTGGTGGGCTGCTCCTGCCGAACACCCATACAGGGTCCCTTTTGCCCCTTCACTTACTCCAGCTCCCAAACAAATCCTTCCCATGACCCAGCTCCAACACAAGCAGCACCAGCCTACTCCAAGCAATAGAGTCTGGCTTCAAATTACCATCAATGTAGAAAAAGCAACACAAAAACCAGAAAAAAAAAATTCCCAGCTGAATCTGCCCAGCCCAAACGATTACCACAGTGGGGGAAGCTCTGGAGGGGCCCACCAGTGGTGGGCTGCTCCTGCTGACCACCCAGCACAGCATCACTCCATGGCACAACTGCCCCTGAGCCCAAACTGAAGGAGAAGAAGGGAGAAGTTCCCCATGTCCCCAGGCAGGGGTCCATGCAATGGATTTGGCCTCCAAGAAGACACTGAGGCAGCTCCTAGAGAGATGGAGACCTTGCAAACTTGGACACTGCCCTGACCAGGGAAAAGGGTCAGGAAATGCTGGTGCTGAGCAGGGGCATCCCAAGGCAAGGCTGGCACCCAGGCACTCAGCAGCTGACAGGAGAGGAAAAAAAAACCCAACAAAAACAAACCACCACAAAGTAGTGCACAGAGATGAGAGGACAGGCTTGTCACCTGGGAGGCCACCACACACAGTCATGCAGCACGTGGATGGCCATCCTCTGGCTCCTGCTGCCCAGCAGCCCTGAGCTCAGTGACACAAGCTGGTGAGACTGCCTGAAAACCGGTACCACAGTCTTTTTTTTCAGCAAGCAACAAAACAAAATCTCATACTTTTTAAAAATTCTGTACAAGAAATATCTATTTCCCAGTGAGTCCAGTGTGCCTTGAGCTGTGCAAACACCTTGCCCAGCAGATGGCCATGCTGCCACTTGCTCCTGCCACTGCTCATCCATGACCATCCTGTGCCAGTCCTGCTCACGTGCCCCGTGTACTCATCACCTTCTCATCCCCTTATCTTCTTTACTCAGAAAGAAGAACCAAAATCAATACAGAAACCATAAAAATCCACAGACCGAGGAGTGGCAGAGAGGCCCCACGTCAAGGGAAGAATCAATCTATTGAAAACCTTCAGACTTTCCATGAGGAGAGGAAACCTGCACCTGCCACAGCTCCAGGCAGGTGCCGGGGAGGAGAACAAAGCTGCTGAGGAGAAGGCCACAGCTGGATGGTAGCAACCACATCTCCTCCCCTCCTACACACTACCTCACATCTGAATCCCACGAGCTATTTTTGGCAAACAAAGAAACAGAGGCAAGAAGCAAAAGCCCCAGGAAAAGCAGCAGTGCTGGCAGGGGCTGGGCAGGCAGCCCGTGGGCAGGGGAGGTGGCAGCTGGCATCTGCTGCTCCTGCTGCAGAACTTATCGAGCTCTTTTATGCCTTCTTTTGTTTTGTTTTCTCCTCCCCTCCTCAATTGTTTCCCCCAGCCGCACCTGAAAATCTATTCCTCCATGCAATTTGCAGCTCCCAGATCCTCTGTCAGTGATTTTGGCCAGGAATTGCCACCCAGCCCAAACCCCCCACTGAATGCTCTCAGCCACCAAAGCTGGGAGTGGGGGGAGCTGCAACAAGGTTCTAGGTCATGAGCTGATCACACTTCCCCTTCATCCATGACTAACAGCATTTCTGCTCCCCAAGGTTTTGGGCACACTCCCCTGAACTCTCCCCTCCCACACATCCCCCAGCCATGGCAGCTTTTTCCTCTTTCTCAGACCATGGCACAGTCTTTGGTTTCTCCTGTAGCTCCCACCCATGCTCCCACCTCAGCTGGGCCTCTCCAGCACCCCAACATGGCCTCTGTGAGCCCAGTCCCCAGAGACTGGCTGGGATCCAGCAGCAGCCAAGGTGTAGTGTGACCCCCCACACACCAGATCCCACCTTGTGACACA